AAGCATCAAACCGAAATGAGTGGCGTAAGACATGTTTCATTAAGTTGAAAGGTTTTGAAGAGAGTAGAGTGAAGCACCGTGATCAGCTTAGTCAAGCTCCGAAGCAGAGACACCATCAAAATCCTACTTCAACAAAATTTCATCTGTCAGCGTGGCTTTGTCGCCCGCAGCAAGGCTGGGCTAGTGTTGTACATAACAAATTAGAAATGAAATAAGTCTTTTCCTTACCTGATTTTCTCTATAACACCTGCTAGCACGCAGAAGTGTAAAACGAAAGGGAATATCCACTGCTGAACCTCGTTTATCGTTCACAATAGGAGAGTCCACCATATATATATATATATATATATATATTATATATATATATATATATATATATATATATATATATATACACGTTTCATTAAATAATATACACAAGTGTTGTCTGTTTATTTTATGTAAACTCTTTTCATAACGTCTAATAAGTTTAATAATACACAATATATATATATATATATATATATATATATATACGTAGCACTAATAATGGCAGGAATACGACCAAAGTTTGAAGAAAAAATGTTCTATGGAGTGTTACCGGAAGCACCGAAACATTAAAGATATGCAAAAACCTATTCAGAAGACACCTTCACAGAGATCCACAAACGCGACCCACCATTGTGTCGATCAGAGATCCCGACGTTCATAATCCACTTTTCAGAATACGTTGCTGAATCCATTAGTCTGCGTTATGGGTTGAGTTTGGAAAAGCGTACCTGTTAATTTGAACCGCAAAAGTTTTGGGTTATAACGCTGATTTTTAAAACAAATATTGTACGTTATTTTTCATATTTTTGCTACACGTCTTTCCGGTCTCGCGACCTTTATCAGGCAGAGTGGTTATTTCCACTTATAATTGAAAGGAATTAATTTCCCTTCTGTTTTCTGATGTTTAACTATTGAATTTTGTATGTAGTAAGAATCAAATTATTTCTTCGACCTGTAGCGAAAATATTACTTCAGGAGTAATAAAACAATTAGGATTGTTCATAGAAAGGGCGAAAGAAGGAGATCTTAGTTCCTTATCTTTTTAAGATCCCTGTATTTTCTTAAAGATATCTTCATTTTTGTGTATTGTATGGGCGTGTGTGTTTTTTTAGTATATGTATACATATTCCTTCTCCATACATACACCAGTTTATTGCAGATATTATTATCATTATCATCATTAGTGTACCCGTCACATCAAAATATATGTGTTATAAGAAATATGTATTATATTGTAAGAAATTTTCGTTTAATCCAAGTGCAACTTTACAATTTAAAATAGTTCGTTGTTAATGTTAATAATTGAATAGTTTAAATTTACAAACACCTAAGAAAAGATATTCGTATATTATCCTCATAAATGTTATATATTCACAACAAAAAATTATCCATCCTAAGTAAGACGTTAAACTACATCCGCTTTCAGCAGCAAGGTCTCTGATCAGGAGGTTTTGAGGAGCGTGGAACCACCTCTTAATTGCTGGTGTTACCAGGTCCACCCTGACCCGGGGTGGTAGCACCTGCTAGGGTCCCAGCTATGGGCAAATAGTTAACTATTACCCACAATACTTTTTGAAAAACATTATTACCAGCAATACAATTCTGAAGGAAAAATATTACCAGAAACAGATTTTTGACAAAACAAAATATTACCAGCAATAAAAAATATTGTCGGTATTAAATAACCCATTGAAGTTGATATGCTGTAAAACAAAATAAACCAAACCAATCTAAAGCAAAGAATTCATATTCTATTCATAGGAATCTATCCTAAAAATGTTGTCGGCATTAAATAAACCATTGAGATTGATATGCCGTAAAACAAAATAAACCAAACCAAACCAATTCTATTCATACCAAAAATGAACACATTGATTGATATTCAAAAATAAACCAAATCTCTCCATACGAATCTCTCCTAAATCTGTTGTCGGTATTAAACAACCCATTGAGGTTGATATGCCGTAAAACAAAATAAACCAAACCAAATCAAAATTAGGTTTGCGGTAAAACTTCCCAAAGCACAATATTTTGGTGGGTAAATTTTGTAATTCTGAGTAATCTTTGAAAGTCTGTAGATTCAAGCTGTAAATTCAAAGTCTGCTTATTTCTCGTCCTACTAAGAGAGACGTATCATCAGTTTTCTTTTTTTATTTTTTTTTTTTACCTAACCGAGTGGTTAGAACGTTCGCATTCTGACAATGAGTCTCGGGTTCGAATCTCACCATGGTCGATTTGTCAGGAAGGAGACTTGCTGATGTTATCGGACTGGAGGTGTCGACCTCAGCGAGCGGCATCTTCGGAAAGGGCCTGAAAACCATAACACGGTTTGACCAAAGCTTTGTGAGAGAAATTAGGTAGACGAAACCATTGTGGGTGGGGGCGGCGTCGATAGCCTCGCTAGCACTAAATCACAAGTCGTTGTGGCCGAGGGCTTGAACATGTCGAATACGAGTGGCCAGCTATACATTATATTTTAAGTAATTTTCAAATCCAAGTACAAGTTTGTAATTTAAAATAGTCCGTTTTTAATGTTAATAAAAGAAAAGAGTAAATTGATAAACGCGTAAGGAAAGATAACCGTATATTATCCTCATAAATGTCACATATTTCCAACCAAAATTATATTTACTGAAAAACTTCGCAAAGGAGACTATTTTTTGGTAAAATTTGGAATTCTGAGTAATCCTTGATAGTACGTAAGTTCAAGCTGTAATTTCGGTCTACTTATTCCTCGTCCTACTAAGAGCAACGTACCATCAGATTTTTGTTCAATTTTTTGCCACACCAACAGCTTTTTTTTTTTAAATCTAAAGCAAATTTCTAAAAATGAACCAAGCTCCTTGCAGATATATGTGACGAATTATATATACGAATCCTTTTCAATAGTGATATCAGTATGATGCGTCAATGGGACCAAGTTAGCACGCCATCGACTGGATCCTCTTTATTTTCCACAACACCTATCAGTTACCCATATACATATATATATATATATATATATATATATATATATATATATATGTACATTTGTGAGAGTATTTGTGTGTGTGTGTGTGCGTGGCGTATTATATACAGAGATTGTTACCCATTGATCTATTTTCAATTCTAACTTTTAAAGTTTAAAATTAATTTCTAAAAATGAGCAAAGCTTTCTCGAAGATATATATGGCGCATTATATGTACGAAACGACTTCGACCTCAATATCAGTAGGCATCAACGTTATTTTGCACACAAAAACAGTATATATATATTTATTTATTTATTTACTAATTTAAAAATATGGTTCTATGGCTACACAGGAATTACCATGTTTAAAAAAATAACTAAAAACTTCAAATTCAATTATAGAATTAAATTAAATTCGCTTGAAAAATGGAACAGTACTAGGGATTTTAATTTAATTATATAATTAAATTTTAAATATTTCGTTTCTGTTTTTCAAACATGGTAATTCTTGTGTAGCGATGGAACTATATTTTTAAATTAGTAAATTTAAATATTTATGCTCTGCAGAATTGTATTGAGCACTGTTTCTTAAAAATGAATATAATTAATATGAACACGAGATAATAAATGTTACTCTTCTTACTCTTTATTTTAATATATATATATATATATATATATATATATATATAATTGTTGTGGTTAAGTAAATGTTTAAATCAATAACAAAACAAGTATTGCAGTAATATCATATATTAAACAGAAGAACATTACACGACGAGTGAGTGTTTGTCGGTTGACCCAGCATTCAATCTATTCGAGTGTTGATATTTAGTAGCCCCCCCACAAAAAAAAAAAACACACACACACACCCAAGATAGATGGGGCACAAGGCCGAGTTTAATGTGGGGCATCCGAGCCCATAGGCTTGTCTAAAAATCCCCGTAGAACCCACATAAACGTGTTCGGCTCTGTCTATCTCTCCGGACGAGACTGCCTTTCGACACAGCCTCGTCCGGGTTCCTCTCTGTCACAGCCTCGGTAGAATAATCTTTTCGACTGTTATATTTAACAGACCCCTCCCCTCACGAGGGATGTATGTGGCACAAGACCGAGTTTACCGTGAGTTTTCCGAGCCACGAGGCTCGGTAAAAAATATTCCCTTAGAATACGCATAAACGGGTTCAGGGTCTCTACCTCCCAGGACGAAACTTTGCAAGGCCTCGTCCGTGTTCCTCTCTGCTCAAGGCAGAAACTTCGACAGACGAACAGTCTAGTCGACTGTCAATATTTAACATCACCCCACCACCAAAAGAGGGATTTATGTGGCCCAAGGCCGAGTTTACCGTGGATTCTCTGAGCAAGGCCGAGTTTACCGTGGATACTCCAAGCCCATAGGCTCAGCCAAAAATATTCCCTTAGTACCCGCATAAACGGGTTCAGGGACTATCAACCTCACTGGACGAAACTTTGCCCTTTGGCAAAGCCTCGTCCGGGTCCCTCTCTGCTCAAGGCAGTGAGTTCAACAGTAATGAACAATCTATGTGACTGTTCCCGCAAAGGCCTTCTCTCCTACTAATATTATAGTAGGCGGAAGAGTCCAACATAGACTGTCTAGAGGGAGAACACCACAACAATAATTATTACTACTACTACTACTAATAATAATAATAATAATACAGAATATCTCTAATTACCCTTTATTTTACAACCAATAAAATATTGGTAGTTGGCAGCCATAGAGCGACGGTAGGTTTGCACAGATATGTTCTGTTCGGTCTTCACTGGGTGCTCCAATAGGTTATTCAATAACTTCAATTGTGTGAGCTCTTAACATTACCTGCGTTACATGAGGTCTGCTTAGTCTGGCACAAGGCCACTAGTGATTGAGAACCCAGTGTTGATCGGAAGATTATCGCCCAGTTGTCATGTTGATGGATTTATTCTCTGTTAGCTTCTCGGAAAGGGTTTATATTAATATCGCTTATCGATGGGATGAGGTAAGCAAGAAGCTATCTAATGAATGCATTTGGAGATATGTTCAAGAATATTTGCCTTTGTCCATCGCTCCTGGCTGCGGTCAGCGGACCGAGTCGTTTCGCTGACAGAGAAGCAATTTGGCTCATTGCCTAAGCCAGCGTCGGCGATGGATTTCTTTGCGAATTTGCAATACATCACTGTCGAGCCGCAGGCGAAGTCGACGGCAGGAAAGCGTCTGCAAGGATGCCTTATCAATACTGTAGAATGACAAGGTCACTCGGATTTGCCCGACAGAAAAATGGCGAAAACGCATCATTATTGCGAGAAGACAAGTTCTGTTTTAGTTTCATAGAAGTCGTGTTTTAATTTCACGAGTCGTCAAACCTGGAACGAAAATGCAGATAGAATAAAATAAATATTTCAGCGTGAGAGAAGTGAGTTTGTAACTCACGATTTCTCCTATTTACCTAGCCTTGTACCAGGCAATGGTAAGAAAAACAAACAACGAAAATAGAAAAATAACTCGAAGATTATATTTTATTCGTACAATTAATAAATATTAATTTCTATAAAGACTCTCTCTCTATCTCTCTTTCTATCTCTCTCTCTCTATATCCTCTCTCTGTATTTGCCTCTCTCTTTCTGTCTATCTTTCTCTCTATCTCTCTGTCTCTTACTCTCTCTCCCCCTGTATATTTACCTCTGTCTCACTCGGAGCTTTTTCTGTGTCCTCACTTCCTCTCTCTCTCTATCTGTTTCCTCTGTCCCCTTCTCTTTCACACACCCGAGCGCGCACACACACACACTTTCAAAGCGAATCTTCTCTTTCTCTCAATCGTCAATCGTCAAGCGACGCGAAAGGTTATGACCTGCTTTGTTTTATTTTCAAATTACATTTTTTCGGCGCAGAAGCTAAGTTAAGCTTGGTTCAAAATATTTTAAATAAACAGTATAATATCTGTTTTATTAAAATCAGTTTTGAAAAATGATAATTGATTTTTAAAAGAATATCAGTCAGATTTTAATCTTTTTTTATCAAATCGAAAAATGATTAAAAATGATTGATTATCTGTCCTTTTTTTGACCAAAAAAACAATATTTTAACGAAAATTTCAGACGTGCTAGGAACGATTAAAAAAATGTAAAAAAAATACTCCAAAAATACTTTGATCTTTCCTCTTTAATAATAATATGAACATTAGACGATAAAATTTTGTTTTCGTCAAGTTCGGCGTCTTTTTCATCATGCTATGTTCTTTTGTTTACGTTTTCGTTCGTGAGTTGTCCCCCTTTCATTCTCACGATGTGTCTTAATCGTGTTTTCAAATTGATTTTCTTAAAAAACAACTGTGTTTTTCCCATTTTCGGCGCCGTTAGAACCACCAAAAGGTAATTTTATGTAGTCCTGTGAAGTTTTGTTGAAATCGGCTAAAAAATGTAGGAAATTCGATCCAACATATAAACGTTACAGACACACACACACACACACAACCTGCATTTTATAATAAGTAAGATATATATAACAGAAAAATTGACCAAATCATGTACAGCATAATTGACAACCATACAAAATTTTTAATATCTAAAAAAAACACTAAACTATTTGAGATTCTTTTTTCCAGGTTTTCTGATAAGACATTTAGCCTTATTGCAACCATTTGTCGTAAGAATCACTGACATGTGAGAGATGAGTTTCAGCTATGACAGTCCAAAGGGCACTGAAAAAAAGACTTGAAAATAAACTCGTAAGCGAAACCTGTGAGGCAATTTGTTACTCTAGGACAGAAAGTTAGAAGGATAGAGATGGCGAAGATCATCTTGAGTAAGTTGAAAATGATCCTGGAATAATATATATATATATATATATATATATATATATATATATATATATATATTAACTTTTATCACAAACCTTCATGAGCTTCCGATCCTTAAGTTATGATTAATTAATGATGAACCTGTCATTTTCGTTTATGATCGATTTCATCACGATTCTTCTGTTAAGCTTAGAGAGTAATTACACATTCTTACTGCTAAAAATAGATTCCAATAGCGTTATAAAACCCTCGGAGAATTCCAGTAAGATATCTTTAATCATTTCTAACACAGAACGGTTCATAGCTTAATCTAAGAACTTGATAATTTTATATATATATATATATATATATATATATATATATATATATATATATTGTTGCGACTCTTCCGTCGAATACGACGTATAAAGGTCAAGCAGATCAGTTCTCAGGAAACTGACAGCCCGACAACAGCACATGAGAATTGATTATAGTGGTGAAGGTTTTGTGAATGACCATCCACACTTTTTTTCTGTGTATATATATATATATATATATATATATATATATATATATATATATATATATATATATATACAGATAAATATAGATAAATGGACTCGTTTCGGAAAACCCTCGAATTTTTGATTTGCTAATCAAATCAATCTCGAGGGAAAAAAGGTTTTAAAAAAGAAAGGCTACAAAACATGGACTTCTGCCGACAAAAAAAAATCGCACAGATGCAGGTCTGAAGCCCAAAGAAAAAAAAAAAACCCGATACGAGTAAACAACTAACTAACTAAAAGAGCTCAATACAACCGTAGAGCAGACCTAGATACCCTAGTGAGCCAGACAAACCTACCTAGGTTTCACCGAAACAGATCGTCAGGGAAAGCCACGGATTGCCAGCTAAACTTTCCTGACGATCCGTTTAGGTGAAACCTTGGTAGGTTTGTCTGGCTCACTAGGTATATATATATATATATATATATATATATATATATATATATGATTTCTAGTCGAAGTCTGGAGGAAGTACAAAATCCAGTAGCCATTCAAAGCATGGAAAATGTGTGTAGGTGTGTATATTTAGGCGTCATATTTTCATTAAAACTTGTTTCGATGACTAACCTCTACATCTATTTATTTTTATTTTAATCCTCTCAAATTGTCGGATCAACTTTTTCATGTTGATATTAAATTCATTAAGGAAGCAGCCGTTACCTATGTCGGATTACAGTTCTATTGTACAACATTAAAAGGATCATTCCTGTTCACATTCAGGATTTAGAGAAACATTAATTGCGAATGCAAGCATACTTCACCATGAAAATAAAAAGAAACTTCAAATTTTAAAGACCACTATATAAGAAAAATCCAGGCAACACTATATAAGGGTAATTATAATTATAGCAGCCATGTTTTAAAATATCTATAAGAGGAATGTTTCAAAGCACTAAAAGTGTAATTTTAAAAAAATTACAATTATACAAATTAAAGTTACTATTCTTAAATAAAACATAACTTTAACAGTTCATTTTTAAATTAATTGCAACGTAGAACATACGTTTTTTATAATTATAAAAAAGTCACTTTCATATGCATTTTTTTTTGTTTAAGCAAATAACCCCCAAGGAAGGTAGGAGTGCCACTAGGACGCAAGGTGTTACAGAGGATTGAGAACAAGAGTAAAGGGGCGTGTTTTAGGAAAGGATACAGAGAAGGACAGGGAACAAGATCAATGTATCAGAAGATGTCGATTGACATTACACTTGAATATTTGAAGATTATAGTCATCTGGGGTACAATCAAGGAAAAGGGGGGTTCCACAGACGGGAAGTGCGAGAGAAGAAGCTGATTGAGTAGAAGAGACGATTACATTTAATAGTTTCGAGCGTGAAAGTGTGGGAACGAGATGCCAACCTAGTAACTCGTTTAAATTCATGCAGTCTGAGAAGCAGCGAAAGTAGCTCGTCGGAAGACTTGACGTGACAATACTTGTAGAAGAGACAGAGGGAAGCCACAGCACGTCTGTGAAAAAAAGTGACTGTAGACGAGATGCCAAATATCGCATGAAGAATAAATCACATCTCTCAGTAACATTATGAATTGATTTGACCCCTGAAGATGATCTTGGATAAGGTTTGGGAAAAGAAAAGTAATGAAAAAAATCTACGCCACCTTCCATAACAAATTTAATATCAAGAAATTGATCCGAGAATTAAAGAGGATTAAAATAAAAAGAGACATACGATGTCCTTATTATTCAACCAAACATGCTTGAATATATATATATATATATATATATATATATATATATATATATATATATATATGTACATACGTTTCATTCAAGATGACTCATAATGTAATATGATTAAGCTTTATATATATATATATATATATATATATATATATATATATATATATATACATTCTACAGGCTAAACATGAAACTTAATAACTGACTTTTTGTGCGGATATCACTGAAATATGTCAAAACCAGTTGAATGTTGAAAATGTTTTTATCTAATAATACATGATTTTAATTTTTATAACATAATTTAAATATTTATAACTTAATTTATATATATATATATATATATATATATATATACGAGGTCAGATTATATATATATATATATATATATATATATATATATATATATATATATACAGGCTCAGATTACATATATATATATATATATATATTTATGAGGTCAGATTATATATATATGTATATGCTGTGTTGGTGCATAATTATCAAGCGTTTTTATAGGCGAATTCTTTAAAAATGTTAAAAAAATTTCTGTTTTGTTTACTTTTTTTTTAATAAAAGTATTTTATTTTCAGGTTATAAAGATGCGTGTCGATAATCATACGCTCCGGAATAATCATTTTAAAATGTTATTGTTGAATTGTTATGTTTTCTTATTTACAATAAATATTGTTAAAAAACGCCTGATAATTATTCTCCAACCCATTATATATATATATATATATATATATATATAGTGTAACCCGGATATAAGTGACCCGGATATAAGAGAAACCCTGATATTAGAGAGATTTTCTCTGGTCCAAAATTAGAGTCTGTGTTCATGTATATAAAATAGATCAAAACCCGGATATAAGAGAAACCCGGATATAAGAGACTTTTCTCCGGTCCCGACAACTCTCTTATATCCGGGTTACACTATATATATATATATATATATATATATATATATATATATATATATATATATATGAGCGTGAAGCAACGATTTTTTATCTTTATATAGCCAAGATGAAACTAGTTGTAAAGATAATTTTAATCAGCGGCTGTAAAGTGGATATAGAATTCACAGTGAAGGAATAGATAACGGCTGGAATTGTGTAATCGGAGTGCCGAGTTCGAATTCCAGTCAAGTTCATTATATTTACTTACGCGCTAATACCGTTGGAATCTCTTCTCCCACTTATCTATCAGTTAATAGCAGGGTTGACGTGGCCCTATAGCCTTGGTCAGCAACCGCTCTAGGAGAAGGAAAATTTTAAAACTTTCACATCCAGCCTGGAGATGGATGTGCTGCAGAAAATGTTGTCCCCTTATGACCTTATTGCCTTACAGGTCTCGTGATCGTGAAGTCCATTATATTAATGTGCCTATCTTCTGTCTTCTGATTTATATTCAGTTGATGCTGAACGGCTATCTAAAAGAGACAATAGGAAAATAAGTCCGGTGTTTCCTCTTTTTATTTTTTAATATCTAGTAAACATGGCCCTTTATGCGTTGACTTTGTTGTTATCCACTTTTCGGGATCCTTTCTTTTCTGGGGTGTGACCCTTGACAGATTATGCTTGCCTACTTTTTAATTGCTACGTTACGGCATAGTTATAAACTCTTTTTGA